GCAAGCCTGGAGTGGGAGTACGGGGAGCAAATCCCGTGTGTGCGGGTGGGCACCCATTACTACCTAAAGGCGACCCGTTTGGGCCAGGGGGAGTGTGTTCAAACCCTGGCGGTCTTGTCTGAATCTGCGGAGCTTTGGCATCGTAGGTTCGGACACCTAGGGTACGGTAATTTAGAGAAGCTCGTGTCTGATGAAATGGTCACTGGTATGGGCCTGAGCGCGGCTGAAATCCGGGAGAAGGTGAAGGAAAAGAGTATCTGTGAGCCGTGTGTGAAGGCCAAGCATACCCGTGCGTCTTTTCCTCCGTCTGGGAATGCAGCAAACCGTGTTTTGCAGCGAGTGCATATGGATGTGTGTGAGATGCCTGTTCCGTCTATGGGCGGGTCAAGGTATGTCGCCACGTTTCTGGATGAGCATTCGAGTTTTGCAGTGGTGCGCTGTGTAGGGACGAAGGGAGAAGTTCCGGAAGCGGCCCAGGAAGTACTGCAGCTGTTAGAGACCCAATCGGGCAAGAAGCTGCTAGCAGTTCAGTCGGATCGCGGTGGGGAGTATTTGAATAAGGCTCTAGGACAGTACCTTAAGGGTAAGGGGGTCCAGCACGACACGTCCGTGCCGTACACTCCTGAGCAAAATGGCCGCGCTGAGAGGCTGAACCGCACACTCCTAGAGAAGACCCGCGCGATGTTACAAGACTCAGGATTACCGCACGAACTATGGGCCGAAGCTATCACCACTGCATGTGCCCTGTATAATTGTTCACCTGTGTCGGGCAAACAGATAACGCCCTTTGAAGTTTTCCACCGCGTGAAGCCAGATGTCTCTGATTTGCGCGTGTTTGGGTGTACTGCGTGGGTGCATGTCGAGAGGAGGCACCGCAATAAGCTCGATGCAACAAGCCAGAAGGGTGTGTTGGTGGGCTACGAGCGCAACTGCAAAGGATACCGGATTTTACTAGACGGGTCTAAGCGTATCGTAGTGAGCAGGAGCGTGCTTTTTGAGGAAACGCCAACGTCCCGCACGCTGCCTGCGGATGATAGCGAAAGCAGCGGCAGCGGAAGCGATAGTGACGATGAGGACGATGTGGCTAGCAGTAGTTGCAAGACTGCAGCCCCTCCCCGGCAGGGGGAGCAGTTTAGTCCGAGTGAGGCCGTAGAGGATAGTCAAGGGAACGCGGCGATTGGAGATTCAGCTGAGTTGAATGAGGGGGAGCCTAGGGTAGTTGGCGCAGTACCTGAGGCACCTGAGGAGGAACCCACGGCTACCGACGGTGCAGCCGATTCCGCCAAAGGGAAGCCTAAGACTACCAGCGGGACCACTAAGGGGAAACCTAAAGCTGTCGGTAAGGCAGCTGAGGGGGAGGATAAGGCTGGTGCAGCTGCCTCTACACAACATCGTTACCCCCAACGTGACCGTCATCCGCCCCAGCGACTCAACCTTGCTGTTAACGTATCGGACGTCAAAATCCCGAGCACCTACGAGGAAGCGATGGCCTCTCCGGAACGGGACAAATGGCAGGAGGCGATGGCCGAAGAAATCGGATCTATCCACGCATTAGATACGTGGGAGCTGAAGGTACCGCCGCCTGGGGTGAAACCGATTCCGGTGAAGTGGGTGTACGACGTGAAGCGGGGTGTAGACGGACAAGTGGAACGATACAAAGCCCGGTTGGTAGCAAAGGGCTATAAGCAGAAGGAAGGTGTTGACTTCAATGAGGTATTCGCGCCTGGTAGCAATCAGGTGACGTTGCGCACATTCCTGGCGAAGGCTGCAGCTGAAGGATTTGAGGTACACCACCTAGATGTGCGCACTGCGTTCCTCAACGGGACGCTGGAGGAGGTGATTTATTGTGACCAACCGCCTGGTTTTGAAACGGGTGGCGCAGGTATGAAGTGTCTGTTGCGGAAAGCGTTGTACGGTTTACGTCAGGCAGGCAGAGCTTGGCACCAGAAGTTGCGGGAAACGCTGGAGGCTATTGGTTTCAAGGTTTCTGATGCGGATCCCAGCTTCTTTACGCTGGAAGAGCAGGCATTTGTTGTGTGGCTATACGCTCACGTAGACGACTTGCTAGTCGCGAGCAACAAAAGCGAGGAAATAGCCCGTATAAAGCAAGAGTTGAAGGCTGAGTTTGACCTCCGTGATTTGGGGGAGGTGTCGTTCTTTTTGGGTATGGAGATCAGTCGGAGCAAGGAGCTAGGCGAGGTCAAAATCTCGCAGCAGCGGTATACGGCCGAATTATTGGCCAAGTTCGGGATGGAGGATGCAGTTCCTAAGTCGGTTCCTATGACGCCAAGTCTAGTTTTGAGCCGTACTAGTGATATCGATCAGGTATTGTTGGATGCAACGCGCTACCGAGAGTTAATTGGTGGTTTGATGTATCTGGCAGTGTGCACGCGTCCTGATATCGCGCATGCTGTGTTTAAGTTAGCGCGGTATATGTCTGAGCCGGCGAAGGCTCACTGGGAGACTGCTAAGGATATCCTGAGATATCTGAAGGGGACTGCGAGTTTCGGTTTATGTTTTGCCAGGGACAGCAAGGCAATTGAGGGTTATGCCGATGCAGACTGGGCAGTGGATCGAGACAACCGCCGTTCGACAACTGGATATGCCTTTATCCTTGGCGGTGGAGCCGTCAGATACGACAGATAAGATGGAATGTTTGGTATAAAGGAGATGATGTTCTGACTGAAAGTTTGTTCTGTGATACCTGTAACGGTTAAGGTTGGCTTTACCTACACAGTTCCACTCGCCTATATCTTAACACTGGCCTGTCGTCAACATGAGTTGCGGTAGATGTCGCAGGAAAAGAACATTTGCACCTATCAAGCGCTCCGGCAGAAAAGCAGACTGCTCGAGCGTGATAATTCGCCCTAGTATGGGACTCAGCCTACGGGTTAAAATTTGGTGAGAATCCTGTAATCTGTATTCAACAAGGTAATCGGTCGATAACTACCCGGGGAGGTGGGAGATCCCCGAGTTTTATAAATAACCGTGATAACACCTTGCAAAAAGCCATCTGGGAGCATTTGGGTTTGGCCCATGGCTGTGAGCTATAAAAGCAACAACCAAAAAACTAGGAAGTCTGACCAGAATTACAACAGGCTGTATACAGTTGAGCAAGAACTGGTGCAATCTCGTTCCGACACACCTTGTATAATTCAATTGGGATGCCATCTAGACCGGGCGCTTTGCCTGGCGTCGCTTCCTTGAGCACCGCTTCCACTTCAGCGTCAGACACCTCCGGTCTTCCTACATGTCTTGACACGCATCCTCCTCCGGAATGACAAGGTGGCGGTTCCGCAGCGCCCCTATAACAGCCATTCTAGCCTCTTCAGTCACATGAGTTGGGGAGGAACAAATCTCTCCCCAAAAGTCCGCAACCATGTGTGGCAACTTCATCGTGTCTGTAATAAGACGACCCGTTCTTTCTTACAACGCTGAAATTACTTGTAGAGTCTTAGACGGGTGTACCAGGGTTGTTAGCCCTAGAGGCCTCTACTAGGCCGTTCACCCTCACGAATCCACTGTATTCATAGTATTCATAGTATTATTGCATCCACATAGTATTAATGCATCCACGAATCCAGTGTATTCATAGTATTATTGCATGTATTATGTTTATATGCCCGGCTGTGCCGTCCTGTTCACATATGTCATGCATGGGTCATATTCATGGCGATTCAGACAAAAAGGTCCAACGCCTTATTACATAATACTTGTAGGGTGAAGATCATCAGCAGCGCAGGTATTGTTGGACGGTGTTCGGACCTGGTCGGACGCATGCATGCATGTATGCGCATGCGTTTATTCGTAGATCACCAACAAACGATAATTCTTTCCGTGGTGTGTTTCCTGCAGGTAACAGCAGCTGCTGGCAGGGATTATGTTGCATACTTACATATATGTTAGGTGTATAGCGTTTATGGAAGGGAAAAATGAATGAATAAATGGAAATGGCCATTATTGTAGTAGCTGGCCAGCTACCATGGTACACAGCCCTATGGCATAAACATGCCGGTTACCGACCGTTTGGGTCCCATTAACCCAACCGGCCGGTTGAATGGCGTTAACGGCCCGGTTGGGTTAACGGCCGGTTGGGTTAACAGCCGGTTGGGTTAACGGCCGGTTGGGTTAACGGCCGGTTGGGTGAACGGTTGGGTTAACGGCCGGTTGGGTTAATGATCAGTTGGGTTAACGGTCGGTTGGATTAATGGTCAGGTGGGTTAATGGTCAGGTATTCATCCTACCTAGCACCCTGCCTGCATGCCTACACACCTGGGACAGTACTGTTATCACTGCCTCCCACATCATCTTGGCACCATGCCCTTAAGCATATTCATATATGATGCAGGTATATACCTAAAATACCTAAAATACCTAAATTTATCCTTGTCATACTTAGATGTGTGCACACCACTGTCACCCGTGTCACCTGGCATTCCTTGACTGCACAAGGCCATCACACCTGTCATCTGTAATCTGCATAAACCTTCCTGCACAAGGCTGTCACCTCTGTCACCCGGCATTCACAACAATGTTTGTGTCATCAACGTCACCAATGTCAAGCAGCATTCACACAAGCCTGCACGCATTGTTGTAGCAGTTGACCTCTGAAAAGGTCTCTCGAGTTGCTGGCGGTCGCGCTCTGCACATATTTATAGCACCGTACTGTGTACCGGCTGCTACAATTGTTGTCACGCAGCATTCACACATGTGTACCCAATTTGTCAGATCTGTCACCTGGCATCCACACAAGCCTGCGCGCATTGTTGTCACCCCTGTCACCCACCATCCACAACAGCCATCACGCAATGTTGTCACCCTCTCACTCGGCCTTTCAATGTATTCTGGGCCCAGAAGTCCCACTCTCAAGCCTGCGCGCATTATTGTCACCCCTGTCACCCAGCATTTCATTCAATTGTCGCCCATAAGCATAAACCAGGCCACCAACTCACAAGCTTAAATGCAACAACTTAAAGGCAATACTAGCTACACAAGCTATGCTAGCCCCTGCCCCGGCCCCTGCCCCTGGGGGGCTTTGCTCCAAGCCCTTTCCCTTGCTCCTGGCTGCCTCGCCCCCTGCTTCTGCCCCTGCTGGGGGTCTTGGCTCCTTCGACACACAGGCCGTACGCGCCAGTATCCACTAACTCTGGAGCAGAGGTAGAAGCCTTTACCCTCTTTGCCGGCTGTCCCCTGGCAGACTGCTCCATCACCACAGGCCTGTTACCACTTGGGTGCTTATGGTGCTGTTGCACACTCCGCTGCTTTCCACTTCCACCCGCCGTCTTCTCATCCAATTCCTCCTCAGACAATTCGGACTCACTCTCCTCCCCAGTACGGCACATTATCAACTACAAGTACACGTGAAGCGCTTCACCTGCATCTCAGGCGGCCTTTTCAGCAGCCAGCTATAGCTACTACAGCTACTACAGCTACTACCCTCGAACGCCTGCTGCTGTCGTCAAACTCGGTAACTAAGCAACTACACTTTTTGAACAGCAAACGTGGTATCATACCTACTTGGGTAGCATCAGAGTCGTGCGTGAAGCAGGAACAGCGCAGCTTGCTTGCCTCGAACAGCTTACTGCAGTGAGCAGTCTGCTGGTTGCCCAAGCGTCGAAGTGATTTCACGAGATTTCCTTTGATCTTTTGAGCGACAAACGAATCCAAAGGGTGATGACGTCAGTAAAATTCCTGATCACCTGAAGGCGACACGCGTCCTCGTGTAGTGGGTAGGAACGGTCCCTATCTATGACAGCGTGGATGTCGCGTGTAGCCTATAGGTGATTACATCTTTTTACTGACGGAACTAAGGATAGGAGTCAGCCGTAGAGCAGTGCGGATGCCAGGCCATGCCTAGAAAGGAGCGCGAGCAGCAAATTTTTACAAGATACTGGTAATGGCCGCTAAACTCGAGTAGTCAGACACACATCCAACTCAACGAGACGGCTGCATGGGATGATTCGATTAGGGTGCCCCAAAACATATGCAGGAAAATGCACACAGGTGTTCATCAGGCACGATTATGAAAGCCAACCAACTCTGCAGTCACAGTCGTACACACGTACTTTGACACGTACATGCGCCTTTGAACGCTACAGCCAGTTCCAAGTGTGATCCGTCTGCAGTAGCATGGAGCCGTCAGGCCCCCCAAAGGCCAGGGAGGCCGCCACCACGGGCAGTCCCCCCATGCTGTTGCAGTGCAACACAACCAGGTTGGGGCCAGGCCGCAGATTCGAGACCTGCAGGACAGAACGTTCTGGAAACACGGCTGTACGGCCGACTTCTTGACCGTTCACGAAGACAGTCGCAAGGTCATCCGCAATGATGGTGAGGTTGAGAACGGGCGTTGTCACAACACCTCCAAGGGCAGCCTGCTGCTGCTGTAGCTGCTCCGCTGACAGCCAGAAGGTCCGGTAGAAGGTGGTTGACTGCCAGGCGGACGCAATGACCCGTTGACCGAACGGCATGAAGGCTGTGGGCAGTGACGAGATCTTAAGCCGCCATGTGCGAGCCGGGGATGGTTGATGTATGTGCTCACACCTTCACAAATGCGCCATCACGAACCATGATAAAGCATGCACAGTAGATGTGCCGTACCGGTGTGTTTACGGAGAAGGAGGGGAAGTTAACCGTGAACACACATGCATTTGCTGGCATGTAATGTTTGATGTTTTCAGGGAATGTGCTCAAGGGAATGTGCAGGTAGTGGGGTAACTGGGCGCGGAAACGGCCTCTCGAGATGCTAACATTTTGCTTGCATGTGTATTAGATGGTGTGTGCCGTACTGCACGACAGCTACTACAGGAAAAGGAAAGGGAAACACATGCCAGCGGGCAGGCCGATGGTACGAACAAACATGAAGCAGCACGTGGCAGGTATTAATGGGTAAAGTAGCAAGAACAATAGCATACATAAGGCCTGATTTCTGCTCCCGGAGGTTCCGGGCTCAAATCCGCCTGCTGACCTCTCGGTGTGTGAAAGGTGTTGCATTGGGCGGTGGCCCCCCATCTTGTGTACGATGTAGGACGTGATTATATCAACTTGCCAAGTGCGAGCTGACCAGGAACTAAGTTGTGGCGCCGTTACTCCGCTAGATTTGGTTGGATGCTGGTGGTGAGTTGCTGAACCCAACGAATACATTCTGAAATTGGATGGGGTGAATGGATTAGGGTGCCCCTCTCGCAAGGGAGAGCAGGGAACCAGCGAATATATTTTCCAATTCCGAACAAAAATGTTCGTGGTCCAGAAATTAAAGAATAAAAGTGTTCCGACCGTACAAGTTCATTCCTGGACTGTCCATGCCAAAGCCGCTAGAATCTTACAGAGGACATACATGTTAACCTTATCATAGTACTTTAATGCCATAGATACTGTTAGGAAGCTCACGCCCGAGGAATCGGACTGTTTCAGATCGGACCAAACGCTGCAAAACATTCGGACCCGAAGCTCCCAAAGCGTGGAAGGCCATTAAAGCAGATATTAAACTTCACTGAAGCCATTAGCGACGTTAATGAAGACGGTGTAGAGGTCGTAGGCAATATGGGCGCAATGCTGCAGCCAGTCGACGACAATGACGCCACTCCAGTTGTCAACAGCGAGCGGGCCATACATCAACGTTCGTCATATGGAGACCATCGCGATGGGCCAGGAAACAGGTTGCGTTTGGTGGTTCTGGTTCATTGCCGCTATTCATCATTAGTTTTGCAACCCGGAAAGCTGTGTAGTTTTATCTTTCAACGTGATGCAAGACGAACGATGGTGAACGGACTCTATTCGATCAGTGCTTGAGAGATTGTGGTGTGCGCGTGTTGCGACATTCCCCAAACCTGGCGTTTGCACGAGCTACTCATCGGAGGGGGGGTCTGGGGGGGCCGGAGCCCCCCCCAGCGCCTTACAGATTCGGAATACTTTTATTCCCGAGACTAAAAACCTATTCTTCCGTTCGGACTGGAAAATTAACCGACAAAATGGAAAAAAGAACTGCAGGGAACTGCCTCGGGAAAGGGGGCCGCTGGTGAAGCTATACCACCCTGTAACAACATACATACGGGACGAGCCGAACACCCCAACAGCAGTAGCAGCAGTCACAGCAGTAGCAGCAGTCACAGCAATAGCAGCAGTAGCAACAGTCACAGCAGTAGCAGCAGTAACAGATGAATACACAGCAATAACAGCAGCACAGCGTACAGTGCGTACGACTGCTAGCTACATACATTACAGCACATGTCGTTGTTCTTTACTTCGTTCGTTTATTACCTACCGTTACGAGAGCCTGTGACTCGGTCGCCATCCATCTGTATGTCAAGACGGGGCCCGCTGTCCGGCCTAAGGTGGCATGTATGGCTGCTAGGTGTGTAGTCCCAGTGGATGCAATCGACCCGGGAGAAGCAGGCCTGGCAGCAAGCACCCGCGTCAGGCTGAGTGCTGGTGGCTAGTACGAGGGCGCTGTTGCCGTACCCAGCACCGTGCTGCTGCAGGGAGCAATCTGGGAGCAATCCGACCACGACATGAGCCGAGCATGACGTGAGCCGGTAAATAGGATAGGGCCCGGGAAAGCAGCACACGTACAACGGACGGAGATCAGTGTGAGCCGTGAAGCATAGCCGGCAAGGGAAACCTGACACGCTGCGGTGTCACCACTGCAGCCCCACCATGTAACACACGGCCTTTCAGTCCTTAAGGCCTGAAGCAGCCGGCATCATATCACTTTGCACCTTCCCAAGTCAAGGCTATCGGAACTGGATGGGGGCGCCCCCGCTTAGGGGTACACGGCATAAGTGGTTGGCCCAAGCTGAAATTGCCATGCCCCAACATTTGCATCAAATGCTTATGCGTTTCCGGTTTGGCTGTTGGGAGTTAGAGATTAACCGGCCGCCAGTGTACAGCATGCACCTGCAGGCTTTGTGACTGCGGGGCGGTTGAAGACAAAATGCATGTATTGGTGGAATGCCTGGTGTACACTAGTACACGGGCTAAGTACGAACGTGACCTCGGGTTTCAAGGGTGCAACATGCGCATGATTATGACCTAGCCCCCACCCCCGGTGCTAGCCAGGTTCCTCTCGAGAGTCTGGGAAACCCGGCACGTCGCTCTAAGGCGCTTCATGCTCAAGCGGACGAGGGAGGATGATGATGGTCCACCACATGACCACACTAAAAATCGATTTACCGTCCATGGCCCCCCCGGCTTTTATGGACACCCCCGCACTTGTGCGGAACATGTAACCTTGTAACCTTTGCTTCCGACACTACCGCAACATGTCTGAAGAACGTGAAGTAGTGGTGGCAGTAGTAGTGGTGGTAGTGATTGTGTGCTCTGTACGTACTCTCAAGAGGTACACGGGTACACACACCTACCTACTGACGATGATTGTGAAACACTGCTGCTGCTGCTGACTCCACCCAGCCACAGCCAACGAGAGCCCATCCACACCGAACTCGGGTTTGCCGTACGAACCATCCCCGCTGGCGTGCCGTACACCTGCAGCTCCGCCACTTGCAAGCTGGCCGCCCGCACAGTAGCATTATTTCCAAAATTCTGAAGGGTGATGTAGCGGCCTGTGACTGGGGGCCTCAGCTCGACGGTTATGATTGCGCCACTGGTGCTGGCCCCGGCCACCCGTCGTACAAGCTGGTTAAGGTTGATCTGCGCCGCAGTGAGGCTGTTGCTAACCAGTGCGCCACCCACACGGATTTCGGCGTTCACGAGCTGTTCGCCGCAGCAGTCCCGCCGGTTGTACAGCACGATCCGGCTGATTGCGAACAGCCCCTCCAGGTCAATGGACAGCCAAGGGTTTAGGTCACTACTGCCACCGCCACTGCGGAAGATGCCAACCCCGGTGCTGCTGATGAATCCGTCCGCGGCGTTCTGAGGGCCATAACGCCTGATGTCATCATCAGCGATGGAAGAAGCGAAGGACATCTTGCCTACAGCAATATTGGTCTCAGGCGTTGGTAGGGGGGAAGGAGAAGTGGGAGGCTGAGGCGATGGTGGCGGTGGGGACTTGGGTGGCTGGGGCGATGGGGGATAGGGTGAGTGCGGCGATGCTGGCGAGCTTGGTGGATGGGGTGGTGGCGATGATGGTGGCCGTGGCGGGCTGGAGGGCTGGGATATTGGCGGCGGTGGCGGATTGTGGGGCTTGGGTGATGGGGGATAGGGAGGGTGGGGCGATGGCGGCGTTGGGGCCCTGGGGGCCTGAGGTGATGGTGGCGGTGGGGGGATAGGTGGCTGTGGTGATGGGGGATAGGG